GCTCATTAGCATGTCCATGGGCAAACATTCCCAGCCCATTGCTCTGCCTCAGACAGAGAATCTTTCAGCATCAACACAGAGTCCATATTTATAACTTCACACGCAGACATTATACAGGTATATGAATAGCATATAAGGAATCTGTAGACCATAAGCTTTCATTTGACACCTCACATGACCCCCTTTGTATCAATCTTTGGGGCAAACACCCCCCAGGAGTGTAGTAGTGATCTGGCTACTCCCCTTAAAATCCAGTAACGTGACAGGGGTCAACAAACATCTGGACAAGGGGGATCCAGTAGATATAGTGTACTTAGATTTCCAGAAAGCCTTTGACAAGGTCCCTCACCAAAAGCTCTTACGTAAATTAAGTTTTCATGGGATAAGAGGGAAGGTCCTTTCATGGATTGAGAACTGGTTAAAAGACAGGAAACAAAGGGTAGGAATAAATGGTAAATTTTCAGAATGGAGAGGGGTAACTAGTGGTGTTCCCCAAGGGTCAGTCCTAGGGCCAATCCTATTCAACTTATTCATAAATGATCTGGAGAAAGGGATAAACAGTGAGATGGCAAAGTTTGCAGACGATACTAAACTGCTCAAGGTAGTTAAGACCAAAGCAGACTGTGAAGAACTTCAAAAAGATCTCACCCAACTAAGTGACTGGGCAACAAAATGGCAAATGAAATTCAACGTGGATAAGTGTAAAGTTATAAACGTTGGGGAAAATAACCCCAACTATACATACAATATCAGCATCATCGTCCTTCATGCCCACTGGTGTATAGAGCAGCAACAAAGGTCCTCCACTTCTGTCTGTCTCTGGCCAGCCTCTTAAGAGTGCCCCATGCGTAATTCATGCTCTTCATTTCTACTTCAGTGGTCCAGCGCCATGTTGTCTTGCGTCGTCCTTGTTTCCGCTTCCCTTCAGGGGTCCAGCGCACAGCAATCTTTGTGATGGAGCTTCCATCTCGCTTGAGCACGTGCCCAATCCATCTCCAGCATCTTTTCATAATGATGGTGGCCATGTCCTCTTGTTGACACCGCGCAAGCAGGTCCTGATTTGAAATTATTCTTGGCCAAAAAATATGGAGAATAGTGGCTGCAAGTTCTGAACAATTCAGCATTGAGATTATCGTGTCCTGGAGCTTCACCATTCTTTAGGATCTTATTGCCATGCTAATTTCTTCCATTTTTGGTGGAGCAGTATTTGTGTCAAGTCTATTTCCTCTTCTAGACTATGGGCTGCTTCTTCTGGTGGTGGCCTGTTTAGAACTTCCTGAAAATATTCTGCCCAATGAACCTCTTGTTCCCTCTGTTGTAAGTAGATTTCCTTGTTTGACCATGACAGGGACACTTGTACTGGCATGATATTTACCACAAACAAGCGTGGTGATTTTAAAAACCTTTCCATTCCAGCAAACGCTTCTCTGTTCCTTTCTTCAGGATGTTAGCTACTCCCTCATGGTGGTGGTCCTCATCCCTTCCAGAAAAAAGGACTGTTTCACCAGTACTAGTCTTTATTCTTCCTGATCCAATCCATCTACTCTCACTGATACCAAGAATATGTAGTCTGTAGCGTCTCATTTCATTTGTAATCTGTGCAAGCTTACCCGTTTCATAATGGTACGTACATTCCAGAACCCAATTCTGGTCTTAACCTTGGCACTCCCAGGACTTCCATCTTTATGTAAATAGCTTCATTTCTGCTTTCATCACTGGCAATCCTACAAGTCACTGTAAGTCATACAATATGATGGGGAGGGGAGGGGCAGCTAATTTAGCTACAGCTAATCAGGAAAGAGATCTTGGAGTCATCGTGGATAGTTCTCTGAAGACGTCCACACAGCGTGCAGCGGCAGTCAAAAAAGCAAACAGGATGTGAGGAGTAATTAAAAAAGGGATAGAGAATAAGATGGAGAATATGTTATTGCTCTTATATAAATCCATGGTACGCCCACATCTTGAATACTGTGTACAGATGTGGTCTCATCTCAAAAAAGATATACTGGCATTCGAAAAAGTTCAGAGAAGGACAACTAAAATGATTAGGGGTTTGGAATGGGTCCCATATGGAGAGATTAAAAGAGACTGGGACTTTTCAGCTTGGAAAAGAGGAGACTGAGGGGGGATATGATAGAGGTCTATACAATCATGAGTGGTGTAGAGAAAGTGAATAAGAAAAATTTATTTATTTGTTCCCATAATACAAGAACTAGGGGCCGCCAAATGAAATTAATAGGCAGAAGGTTTAAAACAAAAGGATGTTCTTTTTCACACAGCACACAGTCAACCTGTGGAACTCCTTGCCTGAGGAGGTTGTGAAGGCTAGGACTGTAACAGGGTTTAAAAGAGAACTTGATACATTCATGGAGGTTAAGTCCATTAATGGCTATTAGCCAGGATGTGTAAGGAATGCTGTTCCTAGCCTCTGTCTGTCAGAGGGTGGAGATGGATGGCAGGAGAGGGATCACTTGATCATTAGCTGTTCGGTTCACTCCCTCTGGGACACCTGGCATTGGCCACTGTGGGCAGACAGGACACTGGGCTGGATGGACCTATGGTCTGACCCAGTCTGGCTGTTTTTATGTAAAAGCGGCGAGGAGTCTTGTGGCACTTTATAGACTAACTGAAGTGTAGGAGCATAAGCTTTCGTGGGCAAAGACCCACTTCGTCAGATGCATGTAGTGGAAATTCCCAGAGGCAGGTATAAATATGCAGGCCAGGATCAGGCTGGAGATGACGAGGTGGATCCAATCAAGGAGGATGGGGCCCACTTCTAGCAGCTGATCTGGAGGTGTGAATTCCAAGAGAGCAGAAGCTGCTTTTGTAGTTAGCAAGCCATTCACAGCTGGTCCCGGTACTGGTTAACTGTTATCAATAATCACCAATAAGGGCGATGCTTAATGGGTAACCCTTTAACCGGGTACCCATTAACATCCCTAGTCCAGATTTAGATCTTTTTGAATTTGCTCAAAACATTTTTAATTATTCAAAACTCCACATTTTCTGTGCCTTAAAAATAATTGAGCCAGATCTTTAGCTAATGGAGATTGGCACAGTTCCATTGATTTCAATGGAGTCATGTTGTTTTATACCAGGTGTCAATTTATACCAGGTGGCTGACTGTATGTTACTAAGGTCTACACTGTGTCAGGTAGCCACAGCTCTGAGTGAGTGACAGATTAGCACAGCCCTGGAGCAGGGTGGGGATGAATTGTGCTTGCAGAAGACAAAATCCCTGTCCAAGCTTCTCAGTACACATAAGGAGTGCAACACTGACAGTACCATTACCTTGCATGGAGCACTCCAGAAGCTTGATCCACAGTTGTTACTGGGAAAGTTTCCATGACTTCAGTAGTTATTGGATCAGGCCCAATGTGTCTTTTCACTTTCTCCACCCTTTGTGTCACATGTCAGGGACTTTGTTATTTATTTCCTAAATGAACAGCAGAAGTGAGCTATCACTTTGTAGTCAATATTACAACAACAGGCCGGAGTTAGTTATATTAGAATGTTGCAAACATGCCTCTACACTATATGGGGTAATCAGCATTCTTGGGGTTCCTGGGCTCTTTTAGTTTGAAAGATACCCAAAATGTTAAAGCAACATTCTAAATGGAGTAGCTCACAGACAGTTTTTGTAACATGAAGCTTTATACTCCCAAGGAAAGCCTTTTTAAATGTGTTTTCATAATAAATATCCATCCTCTTTAAAATTCTCAGATGTAATCAGATAGACAAAGCTACTGAAAAGCAGCTGCTCAGTATAATTGACAAATTAAGCCTAGGCATGCTGTGAAATGGACCTCCCGTGTAGATTGGTCCATGCTGAGGTTGATGGCGGGGTGGAAGCTGTTGAAATCATGGTGAAATTCTTCCAGTCTCCTTTCCATGGGTCCAGATGATGATGTCATCGATGTAGCGTAGGTAGAGAAGGGGTGTAAGTGGACGAGAGCTGAGGAAGCGTTGTTCCAGGTCAGCCATAAAAATGTTGGCGTATTGTGGGGCCATGCGGGGGCCCATAGCAGTGCCACTAGTCTGGAGGTATATGTTGTCACCAAATCTGAAATAGTTGTGTGTGAGGATAAATTCACAGAGTTCAGCCACCGGTTGTGCTGTGGCATCATCAGGGATACTGTTCCTGACAGCTTGTACTCCATCTGCATGTGGGATGTTTGTGTAGAGAGCCTCTACATCCATGGTGGCTAGGATGGTGTTTTCTGGAAGATCACCTATGCATTGTAGTTTTCTCAGGAAATCTGTAGTGTCACGGAGGTAACTGGGCCACCCCCACTAACATGATACGGGAGGCCCACTGAAAGCATTTTGGGATAATGCTAACATCCCAAGCAAGCCTGACGGCCGTCCTTACAAACATACCTTGGAAACAGTAGGCCTCGTGGCGCCGTTTTAGAACGCTGCATAGCAGATGCTGGCTTGTCCCCGTTGGAAGGTGTGACTATGGACCACACTGTCTGCGTCTGCTTTGCTCATTTACCAGTGACACCTCGGACTTATGTTCAGCTGCTCCTGAAGCTATTGAAGTTCACTAATCGGGACTTACTCGTTGCCTCATGAAAGGAGACGCTATTGAGAGTCCATGCTAGGAATACTGAAGTCCTTTGCCTTGTGCATAGCCTGCCTTCTGTAAATTTGAGTGCTCCAGCTAATAAATGCTCCTCTTGAAAGACCCGAGGATCATTTTCCCGGCATCACCTAGAGGACAAAAGCCAGGTTAATTGGAGTCTCTGCAGGCGGCCATGCTGCTGTACAGCACAACTGTTACCCTAGCAACTGGTGAGCTCGGAGAGATCTCCAGCGCCGGATGGGCAAGTGACTTCTCTTCAAATAGCTTTTGCAAGAATCTGAACATTCCCACCTCTGCGAAGCTCTAGGCCTCTTTTTCATTCATGGCCCTAAGTTAAAGACTTGGCCCAACTATTCTCATCCCCCTCTCCCCCGCGTCCTATGAAACCTTCAACTAAAGTCTTAAGTATTGTTTTCTTCTACTGTGTATGAACGGGGCTTATTTGCCTTTCAGGAGTCGGTCGTCCCGGTTATTCAGCACCCTAGTCCTGCATCTCCTCGTTATTTACGTCTCCGTACCATTCCTTGTGCGTCTCTTTCCTGCGCTGCTGAACAAGTTTGTCTTTCTCAATATCCGTAAGTATTCCTCCCCCGGACTTGTGTGGCTGAGAAATTGTGTGCGGAAGCCCTCGTGTGCTTCTTTCTCAATGACCAAAGAGCAAACATGCACGATGTTGGACTCATTTCAACGCTACAGAGAAAAGTACATCAAAGCGCTGAGACTGAAAGTGCTTCTTTGGGGGATCCTGGCTAATTTCAAAAGATTGCTGGGATGTGAACTAAAACCTTGAAGCCGCATGGGGGTGAGGGGTAGGTTGGCAACCCTTCTGCGGGGTAACAAGTTTGGCAGGATGAGAAATGCATTGGGGTCGATAACTGTGTGTCTTCAGGTGAAGGTGGGTGCTGGAAGATCCATAATTGGCCCGACCTACCGGATAGCATTCCATCTATAACTCCTGGGGGAATTCTGCACCAAAACGTTTAAACATTCTGTGCACGCGGTTTTAAAATTCTGAGGATTTTATTGGGCAACATCATACAATATAATCACACCCGTTTCAATTACTTTAGTGATGGTAACATTAGTTCGGACTAAGGGCTTTAGTCCGAACTAACGCGTCCTGGCGCGCACTTCCTGGTTTGAATCAGCTGTGATTCGAACCAGCGCGCCGGCAAGATCATGTTAATGAAGCGCGGGATATTTAAATCCCCGCTTCATTAACTACTTCGGTCGTCTCCATTTGCATCCCTAGTCCGAACTAGGGATTCAGTGTAGACGTACCCTATCAGAGGCAGCAGCTCTGGATGGCAGCAGCCCTTGTCGACAGGGGAGGGGAACTCCGAGCAGACAGTAGCTGCACCGGCATCTCAAGGAGCAGCCTCTTTCTGCGGTGAGCCAGAGCCGATAGAGGCAGCAGCGTGGGGAGGGGGATAGGTGGCTCCCCAGAGCCAGCACGCAAGGAGAAGTGACTTAAAAGCCAGGTCCCCAAGTATATCTGCTCCTGCCTTCCCACCTCCTCACCTCCAGTACTGCTTCCTCTGATAGAGAGGCAGCAGCACAGAGGGTGAGGGGAGCAGGCGGGGGAGCTAGTACACACAGGGAATTGGCTTTTAGGCCAGCTCCCCACCTGTATGGCTCATGCAAGCCACCTGCCCGTGTTCCCCCCAGCTGCCGACTCTACCAGAGGCAGCAGTGGGAGCAGAGCAGGGGAAGCTGCTGCGAAGCAGCCACTGTCCGTGATGAGCCCAGGCTTGCTGAGGACAGAGACTGCTCTGTGGGATGCCAGCACCGCTCAAACTCCCCCATGGACAGGGAGTGCAGGGCGGCAGGTGGGAGCTGGTCTGCAAGTACTCGATTGCCCCTCGGCATCCCTAGTTACAACAGCACAAAGAAATTATGCATCACAAAGGGATCTAGGGATCATAGTGGACCACAAGTTGAATATGAGTCAACAGTGTGATGCTGTTGCAAAAAAAGCAAATATGATTCTAGGTTGTATCAACAGGTGTGTTGTAAGCAAAACTCGTGAAGTCATTCTGCCGCTCTATTCTGCACTAGTTAGGCCTCAGCTGGAGTACTGTGTCCAGTTCTGGGCACCACATTTCAAGAAAGATGTGGAGAAATTGGAAAGGGTCCAGAGAAGAGTGACAAGAATGATTAAAGGTCTAGAGAACATGACCTATGAAGCCAGGCTTCATGAACTGGGCTTGCTTAGTTTGGAAAAAAGAAGATTAAGGGGGGACATGATAGCGGTTTTCAAATATCTAAAAGGGTGTCACAAGGAGGAAGGCGAAAATTTGTTCCTCTTGGTTTCTGAGGCCAGGACAAGGAGTAATGGGCTTAAAGTGCAGCAGGGGAGGTTTAGATGGGACATTAGGAAAAAATTCCTAACTGTCAGGGTGGTCAAATATTGGAATAAATTGCCAAGGGAGGTGGTGGAATCTCCCTCTCTGGAGATATTTAAGAACAGGTTAGATAGACATCTGTCAGGGATGGTGTAGACGGAGCTTGGTCCTGCCTTGAGGGCGGGGGGCTGGACTCGATGACCTCTCGAGGTCCCTTCCAGTCCTATTATTCTATGATCACGCCTTGGCAATTCCTCTGGATTAGTGGGCTGTCGCCTCACAGCAAGGCCAGGTAAAGAACTCCATTTCTTCACCGTGAAGTCCTCGCTTACACACTGCGCAGGTTTTCTGCCAAGCTGCGAATGGGCTCAGTGCAGCTCTGGAGGGGGAGAACTCCCCACGTAATATTTTGTGCCTTGTCTTTCTCAGTGGCCTTCCCCTTTGTGGAACTTGGGAAGCCGGAATTGTGGCTGAACCACACTGTCAACTTCTATCTCAGCCCCGAGCCGGAGGTCTCCATTGGCGTGTGGTGAGTAGAGCGCTGCTGACCGCCAGATCCGTTCTGATTCCCGTGGGCTGTAAGACACCTGGGGGAGGTCTGACTTCGAAGCAGGGATGCAAACAATTGGGTAAAAATGTCACTGTGTAACCATTAAAAATCCTTGTGGTTGCACACATAGCGGGCTCTGCTGTATCAATCTTATGCAGACTGCGGCACCTCAGCGCAGCCAGCTCCCAGGAGCGGGGCAGGCAGCCAGGAGCAGGTACGTGCCGGGGAGCCAGCTTATCTCTTGGCTGTCGGCCCTGTGTCCAGGGAGCCGGCTTCGTTGCAGGCTCTGCAGTACAACTTTACACTGCAGAACCTGCAGCGTGGGGTGGCAGCCGGCTTTCTGGGGGTATGTCTACACTGGAGAGTTTTTTCGGAAAAACGTCACTTACGTCCACACTGCAATCGAAAGAACAGAGGGGTTTTTCCAACTTTGGTAAAACTTTTTCTATGAGGAAAAAGCCTTTTTCTACGAGGAAAAAGGCGTGTGTGGACGGGGAAAAGGGAATTCTTTTGCAAGAAGAGGAAAAAGCACAGGTGCCCTGGTGGCCACTCCGTCCATAGTAATCACAGCTGCAATGCGAGAGCGCATCCATTCTGTTGAAAAAGCAGACCACTTTTTCAATGCTCTTTTGCTGTGTAGACGCCTCTTTTGGAAGACGTTTTTTCGGAAGATCTCTTCCAGAAAAGCGTCTTCCGAAAGAACTCTGCAGTCTAGACATAGCCTGGAAGCAGGAGCCAACGTGTAACCGAAATGGAAACGGATGCTTCTCAGTTAACCGTTAAAACGGTTACCCCCTTACTGCCCTACTTCTATGCTTTTCCAATCTCAAATGACAGCAGTCGTTGACACACCCAGCTACCGTGTGGTACACCATGAAAAAAATCTGTCTCTGCGTAAACTTTCTAGATTCTCCAGCTAAATCCTTATTCTTGCAGGATGCCACAAAAAGCTTGAGCGCTGAAGCAAAGCTGTAAGCTCCTCCTGATCTCCAGGATGTGCTTTGTAGTCGTGATCATAAAACCAGTCGTCGTGTCTGGATGCAAAGGCCTTGATACGTCAGGCACCCAATCGGTCTGTGCGCACAATCCTGCATGAACAGGGCTAGAGAGTCTGATCTCTAACCTCCTGCCCATGCGCCCCAAAGGGCGGCAGTAAGCGTACAATGTCCATGCGCCTACGGGCACGGCAGAGGAAATCTGTCCTGAATGTCCATGAGCAGCGGAGTGCTGCAGAGCCGTACGTGCGTTGGTCCCCGTTATTCCTATTCGCGGTCTCCCAAGGCATGTATTCAAAGCCCTTTCTCTGGCTCACTGATCACGGTGTAGCTCGTGGCCACTGGGCTGGGAAAACGTAGCTATTTTTAAAACCGAGAATTGATGTTGCCTTATAGCAGGGATGGGCAATAATTTTTGATGGAGGGGCCACTCCCGAGAATTTGGAAAATGGTCGAGGGCCGCCCACGTCCATGATGATGGAGGAGCAACGGGGTCTGGGACGGAGGTTGGGTGCAGACGGGAGCTTGGGGGAAGCGAGTGGGGTGCAGGGAGGAGTGTGGGGTCTAGGAGGAAGATTGGGTGAAGGAGGCCGGCCAGATTATGCCTCGCTCTGCCATGGAGTGTGTTGAATTAAAGACAGACCAAATACAAACAGTTTGTTCCTCTTTGCAAAAGGGTATTTCGTGTAGAGAAGTGAACAGAGAAATGGCTGGACTCGGGGTAACAAGAGGCTCTGCTTGCCCAGGTTTTGAAGGCCGTTAACTAAACACAGTTATTTGATTTTGAAAACGAGCAGTCCCGTGACACCTTGGAGACAAACCAATATCTAGGCTCAAGAGTTTTCGTGGGTCAAACCCACTTCCTCAAGCTCACCGACCTATATATTGGTTCGTTTTTGGGTGCCACAGAACTAACACCACAACCTCTCTGAGCCTTTTAAAAAAATCTGATGCATGGATCAGTAGCACGTCTCCTTTGGCCTGAAATGGAAACTCCAGATGTACACGATCAAGCTCGGTTAATTACAGGCTCTTGGTTTTTTTAGGCATGTGTTGCCTGCCAGCAGGGGGACAGAGGCTCAAGGGAAGGACCACAGCTGGTATGAAGAAGCTCTTGCAGACGATAATCCGGTTATAATTTATCTCCACGGCAGTGGAGGCAACAGGTGATGAACAGAAACCTGCAAATGTAGCATTAGTCTGATTTTGTCGGGTATAGTGTGTGGGTCGTAACTGACATCCGGGATCACCTGCTGGAGGCAGGAATAGTTTGGCTCAGGGCTGGGCAAGATGCGGCCCGGCATCCGAATCCGGCCCCCCGAACACTTTGATCCGGCCCGCGGACGGCATCTGGCGGCTTCCTATTTATAGCCTGTTGCCCGTGCCACTGACTTTCCAGGCTCAAGCAGCAGGATCCTATTTAAATGGCTCCCGGCTCCCACTGGCGGTGCTACCCTAGCAGAGGCCGGAGCCGCGAACCTTTTAAATAGCCTCGGTGACACGGTAGCAGCAGGGCCGGGAGTCGCGAGCCCTTCGCTGTGTTTTTACTTCAAAGCCTCCGGCCCCAGACAACTCTGGCGATCCCCACCCCTGCCCCTTCCAGGGGGTGGAGCCGGCCCGTGACCACGGAGAGCGCCACAAGTTCTAAACAACTTTTTGTTGTCAAAGAAGTGTCGTGACTTCTATTCTGCCCTTTGCCTATAATCCGGATGCCCCCCGTAAAGAGGATGTGTTCTTAGAATCAATGAATCCTTGTTAAAGCTATATTTCACCCCCAACTCTCTTACAGGGCTTCTGGGCACAGAGTTTCCTTGATGAAGGTAGGTCAGACCAATTCAAGTGGGTATCGAAACTCTCACAGCCCAGTGTATCCAGTTCTGGGCACCACATTTCAAGAAAGATTTGGAGAAAGTCCAGAGAAGAGCAACAAAAATGATGAAAGGTCTAGAGAACATGAGCTAGGAGGGAAGACTGAAAGAACTGAGCTTGTTTAGTTTGGAAAGGAGAAGACTGAGAGGGAACATGATAGCAGCTTTCAAGTATTTCAAAGGGTGTTACAAGGAGGAGGGAGAAAACTTGTTCTCCTTGGCTTCTGAGGATAGAACAAGAAGCAATGGGCTTAAACTGCAGCAAGGGAGGTTTAGGTTGGATACTGGGAAAAACTTCCTTCCTGTCAGGATGGTGAAACACTGGAATAAGTTGCCCAGGGAGGTTGTGGAATCTCCATCGCTGGAGATATGTAAGAGCAGGTTGGACAGACACCTGGCAGGGATGGTCTAGACGGTGCTGGGTCCTGCTGTGAGGGCAGAGGACTGGACGAGATGACCTCTCGAGGTCCCTTCCAGTGCTAGAATTCTGAGATTCTACGTGTGGGGTACAACAGCTGGTACAACAAGCGGCGTTCTGGGATATTTGCTGGCCTAGGAAGCGAGATGTCCCCAACCAAGATGGGTCGGGCTAAATCTTTCCAGCAAGCCCATTGCATGCATTGCGTGATGGCTAGCTGTAGGGCAAGTCGGTCCTAGCTCAGGGGGGTTCAAACTTTTTTGTCTCATGACCCAGTTGAAGAAGATGGATGCCACCACCCAACATAATTTGACTAGATGTGGGCTCTGGGATGGGGTGGAGGAGGAGAGCTTTGGGCTCTAGGAGGGGTTAGGGTTCAGGGCTGGGGGAGAAGGGACTTACTTTAACTGGCTCTCGGTCAACGGCGGGGGGCTAAGGCAGCTTCCTGCCTCTCCTGGCAGCACAGACCATGCTGCCCTCCAGAAGCAGCCGGCAGCAGGCTCCCAGCCAATGGGAGTGCGGAGCTAGTGCTCAGGGCATGGGCAGTGCACGGAGCCCTGCGTGCTCTCCCTGCCCCCACCTAGGAGTCGGGTCTGTTGCAGCTGCTTCTGGGGCACAGTATAGTCTGCAGTGCCAGGACAGGCAGGGAGCTGCCTTAGCCCCCCACACTGCTCACCTGATCCCTTTGCAGCACCGAGACCCAGTGTCCAACATCTCTCCCCCCCACTGGGTCACCACCCATCGCTTGAAAACCGCTGCTCTAGCTGGTACCAATCCCTTCTTTTCATGGCGTGGGGCTGCTCCGCCGTGCGCTGGTTCTTCTAGCGCCCTCCGGTAGCTGTGCGCTTTGTGCAAGAAATGCCTTGGCTGCCGTAGCCCGTCCCGTGCCGTGTAACGCCGCTTGATCTCTTAAACAGGCGCTGAGCGGTGCCGGCTTCCACATCCTGGCTCTCGACTACAGAGGTAAACGTCCACCCCAACCTGAGGCTGTTCCACAATTAAAAAAAAAAAATTGTTCCCTTTGTAACCTCCTCATCTGCTCACCCCAGGGTACGGGGACTCCACTGGCTACCCCAGTGAGACGGGATTCACCACAGATGCCCTGTTCCTCTATGACTGGGTAAAAGCCCACAGCGGAAATAGCACCGTGGCCGTCTGGGGACATTCCTTGGGGAGCGGGTAAGTGGGGTGCTGGGGATGAGGGATGGAGAGTCTAGGGGTTGCGGGGAAGCATCCCGTCTATTGGCATGTAGATGTGTGGGTGGCCAGACGCGTGTCGCTGCACTAGGGTGGGTTTTAACTGCAGATACGTAACGGGGAATCTCCCCTCAGCTCGGCTGTTGCTGGAACTCCCTTTGAATCGAGGCAAGCCATGCCGGATCCCGTTTCGCCCAGTGGGCCTTGTTTTTAGTAGGAACATTTGTCTTTCTGGTCACACTTCTTTGGTGAGGGTATGGCTAGACTGCGGGGTTTTTCGGGATACCAACGGTATCCTGAAAAAACTCTGCCGCGTCCAGGGATCGCATCTGCTCTTCTGTGCGCAAAAAAAAAAAAAAAAGAGCGGAAGAGCAAACACGTTCTTTCAGGAGCCCTTGTATTCCTCATTCCACAAGGAACAAGGGGGCTTCTGAAAGAGGTTTTTTCCCCCGACATTTGGCCCAGTCTAGATGAGCCAAATGTCGGAAAAGTCTCTTCCAACAAAAGAATTGGGAAAAAGTACGCCAAATGCAGAGCGCGTTTGGTGTACTTTTTCCTGACAAACATTTGGGCTACGTCTAGACTGGAATGATTTTTCCGGAAATGCTTTTAACGGAAAAGTTTTCCGTTAAAAGCATTTTCGGAAAAGAGCGTCTAGATTGGCACGGACACTTTTCCGCAAAAGCACTTTTTTGCGCAAAAAAGCCCCGATCGCCATTTTCGCGATTGGGGCTTTTTTGCGGAAAACGAATCTGAGCTGTCTACACTGGCCCTTTTGTGCAAAAGGACTTTTGCCTGAACGGGAGCAGCATAGTATTTCCACAAGAAGCACTGATTTCTTACAGTAGGAAGTCAGTGCTTTTGCGGAAATTCAAGCGGCCAGTGTAGACAGCTGGCAAGTTTTTCCGGAAAAGCGGCTGATTTTCCGGAAAAACTGGCCAGTCTAGACACAGCCTTGTAGTCTAGCTGGACCCTGACTTCTAAGGCACTGAACTCCATCGCTTGTCTGAAGGAGGAATCCGGTCCTGGGCCAGACATCTGGAAGGATGCTAAAGTTGCACCCACGTGTTAAGGGGTAAATGGGATGTTCTGAGTCAGCGGTTCTCAACTGCTGAA